ACAAATACAAGAGATCTTCTTTTCTTTTTCCTATCACTTTGTACACACAAATTTATTCCTATTTCTCTTGCCTTTGATGTTTCATGCCTTCTGAAAAGAACATAGTGATTCACAAGGTCTTAACTACTCAAGGCCATAATATGCTGCATTTTAAACTGTTAACCCTGAAGTCTTTGAACTACCCCCAATTCAACATTAATTTTCCTGTGTTACTTGCCTTGAGTTAATTAGTTCTCTGTACTGTCTGCCCACATCTTTGATTTGTTTTAGAGGTTTCCTTACTTGCACAGGAAAAGATTTCTTCTTCTGCATGTGAGTGAAGTGAAATAATGGTCTTCAGTATTCTGCAATATTACTAATTCAGGAAGTTGAAAATCATATTGTCATTCTCTATGAGGAAACCTATTATTATATCACCATTAAGTACTGATTAAGTATTCACTGTCCTTGTATAAATATTCTATACTAATAGTTCTTCCATGATCTTATAATAGTTCAGGATTATTCCAAAACCAATACATGCAGAAAATACCTTTTTTTCTTTTTTAAATTGATGATGTATTAAATTTCCTCTACACAATCCATCTGATAACAAGTATAGGAGAGAGATTATGGAGCATAGACAAAACACTGGTGTTTTGTAACACGTTTTATAAAAACGGTATAGCCACCATAAAGTTTTCAGGTGGACTCATCTTGATAGAACCAGTATATAGTAATCTGAATACAAGCCTGAATTAATAGCACTAAAGCCATTGTTAGCTGAAGTTACCTCCTACTACATGTCCACCCTGCCATCTGTAAAGTGCCAATTCTATTGAGCAATCTTTGTTCTTCATACTGCCAGATTCTACACCATTAACAGGATCTGAGCTGCTTCAAAGCTTCCTCACATTTTTTCTCTCAAATAACTGCCACGTAAGAATGCTGTCATTCAAGTATAACTTCATTGAAGTATGGCACAGGTATTTGGGTCAAATAATGTGCTAGTCCTTGCCATTATTGTTAGAAATATACCCAAAGGAATCACCTTCAAATCAGACTCTGAAGTGAAGTCTTGGAAAGAATTATGGGCCCTATGAAAGTCAAGAGCATTGGCTGGGATTTTAACACTACAGCTTGGATTGGCAGATGACTGGTATGAGGTAATACATAAGAATTTGAGGCGATGTAGTCACAATGTGCAATTGGATGCATGTGATTAACATTTTACAAAGTGCATTTGTGAGAGAGTTGAAGTACAATGCATATAAAAACTAATGAAAGTTGCAAACAAGCAGAGTTTAAGTAATACGTTAGAATAGTATCCAGGATCTTTTTTTACATTTACTCTTTTACTTTTTTACTCTTTTAGTAAAAACATTTACTCTTTTATCTTCAGCCAAATAAAACCATTTTGTGTCATTTAAGGAGAGTTACATGGCTTTAAAGGTACTATTCACGCCTTTTGAGACCTTTTCAACACTGTTGGTCTATTAATGAAGTACAAAATTCTTCAGTGCAAGTATATTTCTTCTGTATCTTTTAAGTGATGGAACATCACAGACTCATTTTCCATTTAAAATAATGTACACAAAAATAAATTAAAAGTGTTGAATAATATTTAACTTTGAAATACTCATTTTTCCAAAGTATTTATGATGTAACAGAGGAGCAACTTGAAGACTGTAATTTCTTTCTTAAGATGGAACAGGCTGGTAGAAAATGTAGGAATCTGAGAAGAAAATCACCTTAAAGAAGGATGACAGTTGGGAAACATATGTTTGAAGAAAAACACGTTTATGGTCTCTTTGGATAGCTGGATCATTTGCTTTTGTTTGGGACTTTATCTGTTTGTTTGTTTTGTGGGATTGTTAGTGTGTTTGGGTTTTACACAGGATAAGAATGAATTTGAGGAAACACTGTGTTTACACCTGAATTAAAGATAGACTGCTGCTGTGCTCAAAAAATGCCTTAAGTATCCCCTGTCTCCTGAATGTACTTGTGAGGGCTTGATTAAGCAACATAAAGCCAGGAAAGAAAGCTGTTCTCTGCCATCCAAAATACTCAAGTGAAAATGTGTGAAAGCTATAAGTCTGCCAAATTGGGCTGCAGGTACATCTCTAATGTTGTATAGACGGTGCATGAAGACTACTTTGCATATTTTGTTCAATTTTTTGCACATAAGCTGTTGATGTTTTTTGGTAGTGATCTCTTAGTTGACTACTTATTATAATGTAGTCTTTAGGCAGAGCAATAGAAAGGTGCTTATGCAAACAGAGCCCCCTGCTAGTCCTTTAAAATTTCAAAACCTAAATAAGACTCGATTCAGCTACAATTGTTTCCTTGAAGAGGAGCTGTGATTTGGAATCATAACAGCCATCTATACTTCTCTGTGGAAGTAATCCTGCTGGGCAAATACATAATTCAAAACCCCCACAAATACTCAAGGATATGACAATATGAGGTTCCTAATGAACTGTTGCCTGTAGTATGTGGGAAGTAAGAAAGAGAAGTGGGAATTCTGTGAAGAGTGTGGAGTTCAAGTTGGAGATATGTGACTTGGCAAGCTAGATTTAAAAAAGGACTTTTTTTGTGTGTGTGTCTCCAGTCTCTTGCATCCCAGATCAATGCCCCTCTGCCTCTGGTGTTTGTGAGAGCAGATTCAGGTTTTCAGGGAGAGTCAGCACTGGGGAGGATCCCGCCCTGGCTGACAGTCATGTTTGTGACTCCTGGCTGTGTTCATACCAGCTTTTCAATACAGCAGCAATTTGGGGTTAGCTAAAAGCTTCCTCCATCAGATGTGGCACTGCATTCCCTAAGAAGGATGGGGAAGGAGCCGCCCCTGTGTCCCTCACAGCATCCCTCAGAGCTTTCCAGGTGAAAAAAAGAACACTCCAGGGACTTGCAATACTCCAGAATATTCAAGCCTCTGAAGACAGATAGTGCTGTGAGGTCTCCTCCATGTTCTTAGACAACAGGGACCACCAGCAAGACATCAAAGCACAAAATCAGGTACCACAGTGTCAATTAGAAAGGACATAATAAGTTCCCAAATAATCTTGGTGATGTTGACAAACTCTTGTCCTGGGCATCTCTTTTTGTGTGGCAGATGGGAACAGCTCTATCCAGAGCTTTTGGGTAACACAATGCTTGCTTTGTAGATGACAGCATATTTTGCTAGCAACTGCTCAGTTGCTCTCTCATGTCGAGCAGTTTCTAGTCAGATGCTCACAATGCCGTGCTGACACAAACTACCTGCCATGTGCAACTATTTACAGGTTCCCACTGATAGTGAGGTATGAGGACAGCTTTTCTTTTCCTTAAAAATCCCTTTGCACTTAAGACAGTCTTGATCCAGTGTTGTGAGAGCCAATATTAAAATGCAGCCTAGTTTCCTCCCCCTTCAGAGCATGGACAGCCACTGCAGACTCACATAGGAAAGAGAAAATGTGCTTTCGATTCCCTTAGTGAGTCACCTCTATTTCACTGGTGATTCATCGCTTGAAAGGAGAGGAAGGCAAATCAGGCCTGTTTACACCAAGTGTTATCCATTTATCTGGTTATTTATTTACTGTAGCCCAGAGCATTCTCAAAGCAATATAATGTGGCTGGACTGACAGCTGCAGAAGGCTGATGATTTTTCTCAGGTCTTGGTATGTGCTTGGCACCTGCATGTATGGAAATGAGTAGAGATGAAATGAAGAACGTTCACTCGTGTAAAGATCTCTTGCACTGAAGCATGAAAGTGTGGGGAAAGGATTCATACTGACAGCTCAGGAGTCTGCTAGGAGTGTTTTGTATTTGTGCATCCTTGGGTACTTCAGCCTCCTCCAGCAGGGCTGGCTGCGAATCCATCTAACCAGCTCCTCAGGAGCTGGGGTGGTACTCATCTGACCAGCTAGGGAGCCTCCTGATCTCTCTATCTGTTGCTGCAGCAAGGGGCAATTTATAAAACAGCAACACATGGAGGAGGTACTGAAATCTAGCAGGTTGCTTATGCAAATGTCTTTACTATGATTCAATTATCATCCTGCATGATATATCATCTGCAGTGTGCAGAAAAGCTAAATTCTCTCCAATGTATAAAAATAGTATAATGGCAATTACTTAACCCAGATATGTCTATAAATAGCTCAATATTTTTGCAAAATATCAGCAAACTGTCACAGGCTACGGCTACATTCATAAGCAATTATGTAGTTTATGTTTTTTTCTAACAAACATGGGACGTGGCACAACACTTGTCCTAAATTTTACTATCTAGACTCCAGAGACAAAGAAGGTACATTTGTGTTGACTCAGTATGGAGCAATGTGATATTTTTTTTGTTCTTGTTGAATCTAGGCAAGACATTTCATGTTAGAGCTGTCTTTGGATTATTTGTTGTTAGTGATAGAACACATTCGCATGTGTTTTAGCTAACATTAGTCACAGACAGGAGAAAACTCTTTGAAGTCCTGGGAGGCAGAATCATTTTTAAAACACAGATTTTTTTGCCACCCAAGATAAGGTAATCTTGGATCAGCAGCAAATGCTTTCCTGACTAGGAGCAGTTATTGAACAGACTCCTAAATTAATTCTGGCCATTCTTTTAAGCAGCTGAAATTAGGGCAAAGGCTGACATCTACTCTCAAGATTTCAGAAAAGCATCCATGTTTAAAATTTCAAATTTTCATTGTCTTGTTAGCAGGAATAATAATAAAAAAAAACCCCCACCACCAAAAACAACCCATGTTTTTTTTCTGCTCAAAACTGGTCACTGCCAGAACTGTCAGTTTCAGCAGTTTTCAGGCAACCTGGAGGTCTGTATTGTGCTTTTTATTCTAGAGTGACAGACAGTGTCACAAAATACAGTACCTTTTAAACCAGCTTGTCTGGAAAACTCATCCCTTGTTAATCCCTTTGTTTGCCATGCCTTTAGCTTTCTGCTTATTTTTACTAATCTTTCATGCTGTTGAATCTCCAGAAGCAGAATTTAACTAATTAAATATTTTAGGCATAAAAATATCACTCCTTACTTGCATCATCTGTCTACAGGCTGCATTGTGGTGAGAGAAAAGATGTGCAGGAACACTCTCAGAAGTCATCAGGGCCTTGAAGCTTAGGCAAATCGATGGTCATTGATAGATTCGTGTTGAACATCATTTAGGATGGCCAATATTAGCTAGTGAAGAGGGGAGATGAGACCTTTGCAGAAGCAAAGACAGCCACTGATGACTGATTCCTGGTATTTCCAGATTCAAAAGTCAGCATATGGCAATTTTGTGGGTAACAGAAGGTGGCAGAAGTCCAGTGTTTCTCCTTTGTGTTCCTGGAAAAAAAGGTTGATCACAACTGGCCCTATGTCTGTAAAATTTTCTCTGAACATCAATTTCACTGTAGCAATAGAAGATTTGCTTTTGAACTTCAAAATATATTCAAACAAAATGAATCTCACAGTAGTTCGATATTGTGACTTCATTTTTTAGAAATGCTGTATGTTTCTATCCCTCTAATAAACAAGCCCTACTTGCCCCAAGCTGGACAACTGGAACATGAAACATCACAGATATGTGGTGCTTTATGTGAAAAACATCTCCTGAGTCCAAGGAATATTTGAGTGAACAGCTGAAAGATAAAATAGACTGTGTTTGTACAAGTAACAAAAAGGTAAAGATACATATGAAATTACTTAACATATATTTGCATTTTCTGAATTCTGTCTTGTCTACCCAGAGCAAAAGTCTTGCTTTGCTATAAACTTACTTTCAGCCTGCTGTGATATGGGAGCTCCCCATAGATGGAAAAAGAAAACAGGAATTTGCAGCTGACAAAAACTGTTGCTTTTAAAAACTTAGATCTTCCTCTTACTAAAACCATGAGTTATGAACTAATTCTATATATCTGAGCTTTCCTGTCCCAGTTGGTGTTTATGTTGCATTGCCCTTTACCACTTGCCTTATGTTTGTGCCATCAAGGGAGAGCTACTCTAAAAGGATGATGCAAGCCTCTCCATTAATGATATTTATCAAAGATTCTCTGCTCATTCTTCCTGTAGGTATATTTGGAGAATGAAAAATCCTCATGTGGTTTTTAAGATTCAAATTTGGAAGAAGTATAATATGTAGGATGGGAAAGCTCATTTCAATTTCCTGTTCTGCTGAACTTCCCAGCACACTTTGGAAAGTAACTTACAGCCAATTAAACAGTGTTGAATTAAAGCTGGCATTAGCCATTTACTACTGTTCTTCCATTAGGAAGTCTGTATGATAGTTAGAACTTTTGAGTAAGCACAGCAAATCTTCCCAACCCATGAGTGTTACACTTAGATGGAAAACCTTAAAGATAAACATTCTTAGGGACTTACAACAGTGGGTACCGCATAAGGCTGTAAGATTGTTCTTGCTTTCTTGTTTATTATACTAGCATCTACTGTTGAACAGTGCATTTCAAAATAATCTCTCTGGGGGATTTCACAGAATCACAGAATGGTTTGGGTTGGAAGAGACCTTAAAGATCATTGAGTTCCAAGTCCCTCTGGGATTTGTGGTGCAATCTTGCAGAAAGTTAGTGACTAGAGGTGTTGTGGAGATCCAAGTCTTCTTTTCTTACAGAAATCATATTTCCATCACCATTCAATGCAGAATAATGTGAAACTTCTCCGAAATGGAGCCAGCTCTTCCCTTCTTTTTGCTCAGATTAGGATTTGTGTTAGTTACATGATGAAATAGTCTAGGGACTGACTCAGTCAAAAACTAATTTTCCCTTTGACTTTTTATTTTGTCATTATTCACCTACATAAAATAATGTACATGTTTAAAATTACATAGACATCTATGTTTAAAATTACATAGATGTTGTATCTTGGTTACATATCTCAAACACTTGCATGTGGATGGTTAATTACTTAATATCAATAGAAATTTTAAAAAGATAGTCCTTCCAGTAATTAATATCATATTGATTGAGATGCGGTTTATGCCTTTTTAGAGATTAAATATTTTTTAATGCACTTAAAAAAATCCACTGTTATATCACATATAAAAATTTGATATAGCACTTCAGTTTTCACATATATGCATCGCTTCACTTAACTCCAGTGATAATTGTTCTTATCCTTACAGCTAAGAGTGTTGCTGGCCTAGATATAAGGATAAGGATTATTCTAAAGAAGCACAAACTATATGATGATTACCTCAATCTGCCAAAATCTTTGTCTGGAACTGGTATACTGCAGAACATACCCCAGATCAGCATACTGTGTTAAGTTCAGCTCAGCACTACTTGATTATGTCTGCCTCTCCTGTGATTCTATTACTTCTAAACTGGAAGAAGTGCTTACAAAATGTCACATACTTGCCCTGCTATTCAGTTTGTCCTCACAGAGGCAGTAATTCCAGTCTCACAGAAGTATTGTGAAACATCATTTATTATCATGTGCAGAGTCTGCGATCCTTGGCAAAGTGGAATAATAGGATTGTTAGGTCCTTTTTTTAAAAGGTATTTTTTAATATCAAAAGAGTGATTTAATTATATTTATATATTTCAGTAAATACAGCAGAAAAGAAATAAAACCTTTTAAGTAAAATATTTTGTTTGTACTTTGAAAGTAACAATTTGTTACTGCTACCTTCCAATGGATTATTTCAAGTCCTATTCATGTCAATGGCATGACTCTCTACTTCCAGGGCACTTGCATCTGAACTCAGGAGGGTATCACAAACCCTGGTGACATGTTGGACACTGTCTATGACTCAGAACTAACTGAAATTAATTCAATAATGACTGAAATCATTCAATATCACTCCACAGATAATAACACAGAAGGAAGGGAGAGTTACCTTTTGACTGTGCAGGGGTCTCAAGTTTCTAACCAATAAGAGCTAACACATCTAGTGTTTGTGAGCCATGCATGCATGGTCACAAACCAAGCAAAACAATAAAACCCAAGCAATACACTTTTCTTCTCAAATGCCTTCCAGCTCGTTGGCAGCATGGGCTTTAAGCCTGTGCGACTAGCATAAAGAACCTTCACTCTGGCAGTAATTATATTGCCTCTGATCTCTCACACCCTGTCACAGTAGTCTGTCCCTGTACTCAGCTTTCCGGTTGATTCAGGGTACCCCACAGGGCTGTGCAACTTACCTGAAATGGGAATGAGGGGTTATTTTCAAGTTTCTGATAGTTTCAAGGTATGTGGTTTATCTGAAGCGTGACTTCAAGGCATGAAGCTATGGTAAATCTCAAAGAACATCACAGGCAATAATTGTGATTAGAGCCTCAAACCCAGCACATTTTTCTGGGGGAAGGCTTTGAGCACAAGCTCATTATAAATACATATCTACCCCATGTGGCTTTTGAAGAATGACAATATGTTATCACAGCAACAAGAAGCCGCTGTGACTGCTTTCCTTAACAAATATGTTCTTCTATTTTTTGATTCATCTCACATACAAGGATTAGATTCTAGTTTCAGTATTATGGTTACTTGAAGTGTCATTTGGGAAGGAATGCTGTGAATGCCTGTGGAAAAAGTTATTCTGCTTCTATTATGCAATGTATTTCACATAAGAATAAATCACAAAGGCTCTTCACTTTAAATGATTTTTTCTTTCTGCATACTGATATTTGTGAAGTCACCCTTTCTTAGGACAAATAGTTTACTGTTGAGGGCTGATTCTGCCTTTAGTGTCAATTAATTCCTAATACGTGGGGACTTACAGGTAAATCCAAAGGAGCCTTTAGGCTGACCACAGATCACACAATGAAGGTCTGTGAGCAGAGCGCATTTTCACATGTGGACGGGAAAGATGAGGTTCTCTACCTCAGACACAGCCAGGGTTAGATGACTGCTGAATGTGTGTTCTTTCGATTTTGGTTTTTGCACTTGAGCCCTTGTCTTTGTCATTTCCTAGTCTGGACTCTCATTTTACTGGTTATTTAAAACCCCCAAAATCCAGCTTGCTCTCTCTCTTCCCAGCCTTACTGCAAGTTATGAAATATCTCAAAGTTGGAAGTAGCAAATTATCTTGACAGCCCAAGCACTTTTCTTCCTTCTATTGTCTCTCATTGCTCTGTTGTGGAGTTGTTACTCCACTAAAGGAGAAGAAAAACGAGTCGACCTCCAGGTGCAAGCACCACAGGAAACAAAGAAAAAACAGGAGAAAGAGTGGGGAGAAGAATCCCCCAATTTTTGGAGTTGATTCTGTAGTCAACTGAAGAATTTTATGTAATTTTTTTCTTTTTTTCTTTCTTCCCCCCCCCCCCATGTCTGTGCATGCAACTTTACAGGTTTGTTTTGGAACTGGTAATGGTTCAGAAGCAAACTTCAGCAAAGCAGCTTCAGTCAAAACACAGTAAGCAGGTAGGCCAGTGATGCTAAGAGAATAACTGAGCTGTATTTTTAGCAGTTCATAAATTGAAAAAAGATAGGTGGGGATTAGTTAAAAAAAAAAAAAGGGAAAAAATAAAGCTGCAATGTTACTGTGTTATTGCAGGTGTTATTTAATTATTTCCAAGTTAACAATGCAAAATGGGGGTACACTAAATATAATCCCTCACCTGTAACTGTCAAACCTGTCCTGATCTACTTGTGCTGGAAAAGCTAAAATCAATGTGGATGAATCCTAGCAGGGGTCCACTTCCTACCGGAGAAGGGCTGCGTGTAAGAAAGGAGGGCAGCGTGCTTTAGAAGGCAACACAGCTGAAAGTGATGCCATCTGAGCGGAACAAGCGAGGTTTGTTTTCTTTGCTGCCTGCATCCTGAGCTCACTTTAAATGACAGACTTCTCTCTGCATTTCAATTAGACTGTGCCAGTGGGCAAGCGGGGAATATTAATGAGGCAGCCTCGGAGGGCCACGAGGGCGGGAGCCGCGGTCTGCGAGTTGTTCGTTCCCCCCCAGCAGACCGGAAAGGGCGCGGGGCCGTTGTTGGGGTTGTGCCCTGTCACACCCGCACTTAACAAGAGGTGATTAAAGGGTCGGGAAGGGCCACAGGGAAGGTGGCGTGTCGTCCTGGGGATCACCCGGTTTACCGCTCGCGCACAGGCGGAGTTGTCGCGCAGGCTGCAGGCCCCCGGCTGAGCCGCCGCTCGCCAGGGTGACTTGCATCTTCCCTGCCCCGCACGCCCTGGGGCGCACCCGCACCCCTCCGTCGCGCCGCGCCCCGTGGGGCAACTCCGCGCCCGCGCAGCCGCCGCCCGCGCGCCGGTACGCGCAACCCTCCCCCCCCCCTTCCCTGCCCGCCTCCGCGCACCGGCACGCGCGCTCCCGACGTTCGGGATCCTCTCGGTCCTGGCCGCGCTCCGCCGCCGCCCGCCGCCTCCTGCCCCGCTCGCTGTTGGCACCCTTCGCCCCTGTTCCCCCCTCCCTACCCCGGCCGCACGCTGGCTCCAGGTACGGTCTCCGGGGGTCCCCGCCCTGCTCCTAGGAGAGCTCTGCTGCCGACCGCAACTTGTCGCCCTGCGGGGCTGTCACCCCCCGCCGGTGTACTGCCGAGCAGCTGTCAAACGTGCTGGGCGGCCGGCGGCGGCGGCGGCGGCTGGGGGCGGCTCGACCGCGATCTCCGCACCGAGCCCCCGCGAATGGCGTGACTCCCCCCCGCCGCCCCCCGGCTGCGGAGTGCCGTTGTGAGGCGAGGAATGGTTAAACCCCGGTCCTTTTGTACATGCGGGGTTTTTTTGTTGTTGGTTTTTGTGGGTTATTTTTTGTGACTTTTTTTTATTTATTCTTTTTCGTCTTGGGGCGTATGGAAAAGGAAAGCATCTGATGCGTCTGCTCACATGCCACTTTTGATCATACGTTGCCTCCTTGCACAGAGCAGGATCGTTGGGAAAGATGGAGATACAATAAGTTGCTAGTAGTGAGAAGTGCTGCAGAAACCCAGTGGTTTCCTCTCTCCACCGAAGTGACATATTTTTCCTCGGGTTAAGTTGAAAGCACTGCATGTCGGAGACTGACTGTAGCTGAGAGTGGGTTTGTGTTTTTCTTGCACGGTTAGGTTTTGCAGGAGCAACGATGAAGAGGAAACTGGTGCTCTCCGAGATGCAGTTGGTTCTTCTCGTTTTATTGGTGTGGCTACCAACAAGGTGAGAGGACGTTTAGTTTTCTTGTTCCATACAAACATGTATGTTATGGTCTGCTAAAGGTAAGCCTGTGTGAGAGGTTATGAAAGTATGGTATATAGTAATGTCATGAAAAAAATCTTTCTTGGCTCTTTGAATGCAGTCTTACATAGTTCCCAGAGTAAATGCATTAGAAGGTAGTCTAAGGGCCGTATAAGCCTAATTGCATGTCCTTAAACAGTTTGTGAATAGATGTTTTATTTTGCCATTAAAAAACAATTCCTTTAAATGCCTTATTGAATCTTACAGATTTAATGGAGTTACTGTACCACTGTGATTGTGTACCATACAGAGGAGTTAAGATGGAGACATAGATTAGTCAATATAGCAAATCACAGTCTCTAAATTAATGCTTGCATGGTTTTTATTACAGGCATGCCATTTTTTTTTTGGTTTTGCTTTTTTTTTCTTGATCAACATAACAATTCAAAACGATACTTAAGCTTTAAACCTCTAGGTGGAGATAGCATACAACTTCACAATCATATACAATAAAACAATAGCCTCATTTATTAATCAGGTTTTCTTATGTTTAAAGTTCACCATTTCTAAAGCGACCCCATTAGAGAAAGCAATTTTAATCACCTAATAATCTGGTGTTGCTCACAGTCCCTAAACGTGTGAGTAGTTGTAGTTTGTAACTTGGGTTCACTTGCTTTGATTGTGACTGCAGTAGGTCTTGTCCTGCACTGGTGAGGGTTGTAAGTTAAATAATGCAAGTTTCCTATGATTTAAAAAATCTGCGTTTATTTTTGTGTATTTCCTAGCTAACAAAACATTTCCTGAAACTATGTTTCCTATTTCACTTCATGCCTAACTCTGGTGCAGTATTAGTTGAGTCACAGTGGGCCAGATCCTGCAAACCCTACTCAAGTGAGTAATCTCACTGACGTCAAAGAGACTACATGCGTAATTAAGGAGTTCATGCCTGAGTAAAGTTTGCAGGATTCGACCCTAATTTGATATTGTATGATCTGATTTTTTAGTGGTATCTCTGAGATACAACAGTTCTTCTAGCTCAAAAGAAGCTTAAAAATGACAGAGACAGTCCAGAAAATAACTAAAAATAAAATGACCCATCTGGTAATTTAAGATAAAAACTCACACATCAGTGAAATCACACATGACATTTTGGTATAGGCTTCATAAGTTGTAAGATTTTGGTCAGTTCTGTGTCAGAAAACACAGACTGCAATGATTTATATATAAATACTTCCTCCATGCTGTTGAATTGGGGACCAACATAAAGCCCTGCCTTTCATCATTTTATAGCTTGCTTTAGGGAAAATGCCACCCAAGCCCACTTTTGGTTTGGAGGAGGAAGGAAACATTCTTGGTTTTGTGGCATTCAGGATGCTTTGATCAGTAGTTCATGTAGAGACGATAAATACTAAGACATTTCAGGTTAAAAATGTAGATGGCTAGAAAAGGTGTAGATGATGATGAGTGTAGCATATGTTGCTTTACTTCTGGATACTAATATTCTACAATTAAGCAGGTAGGACTGATGAGCTCATGCATTTCACACGTATGGTGCTTAAAATTGTTGTCACAGTAACATTTGCTTGTGTACATCTTTCTGCATGGGAGTGTTTCCCTAGCAGACAACAGCTTTGGTCTGGGTCTCCAGATCAGCACCACAGCCAGCTAGGCAGAAGATTCATCTTCCAGCCCCTAGTATTTTCTATAGAGGTATGACCTATGAAGGCTGTAACATCTCTTTCTTCATCAGGGAAGTTACAAACAATTGACGATCTATAGATTGTTCCTGATGCTTCATTTAATTTTTTTCTATCCAACTTTAACAAGGTCTGTCTGCATTTAGTGGAACGTCAGATACTGTTTTTATGACAAAATAGCATTTTAGTAACATGAAATCAACCCACAGCTGTCCTGCAGCTTGCTAGTCAGCATCATTGTTCCCACCCACCAAACACTGACATCAGAGGACTCCCTGAGCATGATCAAGGGAGTTTTCCCTCATGTTAGTTCTTCTAGTCATGTACATTACATGACCATTGGGTGGAAGCATATCCACAGGATTTATCCAGAGATAGAGTACACTTAGGTGAGGACAACTAGGATAGAGCTGGAAGGAGACAGTTTTGTGTGTGGGAACCCAGGTTATCTGTCGAGGAGTGACATGCCACTGGGGCCTGGGAAGCTCTTTTAGACTTTTGTGCCTACACAGCCAAATGTGTTAGTAGAGCTTGACGTAACACCCATGGTGGTGCAATGTTGACTAGATGTAGAGGCTACTGAAGAATGACTTCCTGGAAATTTTAAGTAGTATATAATTTACTTCTATGTTTCTGAACTTGTTATGTACAAACTGTGTATTTGTATACTCTTAACTACACCATTACTGTTAGAGAGCAGAAAGTTAAGTATTCTGGGCCAGCCTGCAAAAACTGCATGTTGAGTGTACATTGAAACTTACGTAGTACTTTCTAAAATGTAAAATGTCCATCTAGATCAGTGCTGGCTGACTCCCTGGAAGATGAAGCTAAGAATAACATCACCATCTTTACAAGAATTCTAGACAGACTTCTGGATGGTTATGATAATCGTCTCAGACCTGGATTAGGAGGTAATAAAAACAAAGATTAATTAAAAAAAATGAGCTTTAATGTTCAGATTTTATGCAGTGATATTCCTTTGGGGCTTCCCCCCCCCCCCAAATAACTGTTATGTATCTTGAAAAATTATTTATAACTTTATATTCACCCAGCAGAATCATGTGAAGTTTGAGGAAAATAGCATCTATGAATGGAAAGGAGGAAAGGAAGCACTTTCACACATTTATCTTAAGGAAAAAAAAAAACCACAACAAAAATCTGGTGATTTGACATAGTAAAACAGAATGAGAACAAAAATAACATCTAAAGCTGTTATTCCAGTCAGGGAATTCTGGTTGAACAAGGAATGCAGTCTTGATTCCCTGCAATGCGATGAATGTATGTTTTCAGAAATCTGCACAAGTGTTATGTGTGGTGTGTGCACAACCCACATTTTAGATTCATTCCTTATTCCAGTAAATTCAATGGAAATGTTGTATTTTTTACTTCATTGGAATTAAGGTTTTCCTGGTAAATAACATTTTGTTTCTGGGTACCTTGCACATATTTGGGCATTAAAAAAAAAAAAACCCAGAACACCAAAAGAAACAAGGGAACATTAGAGGGTAGAGGTCACTGCACTCTTGTGCCATGACTGTCAGTTATTTCTCAAAATGTCAGTTCACATTTTCATTTCAAAGCTGTACACTGGCTCATGTAGATATGTAAGCAAAAAATTTAAGCAATTTGTTTGGTGTTGGAAGAATTAGAATTATAGAATTACTGTGCAAAAAGGTCTCTGTGGTATGGGGAGGGGCAGAATATGTTGGGTTTGATAATCTTTTATCTATTATTGTTTATCTGATATTGATGCTAACCAATGTAAATATTCATGTATCAAATAGAACACTGTTATTATCTGTAACAGTTTTGGTAATTGTCATTTTCAACCTGGAGACTGTTTAACTTGCTAAAACTGATTTTAGTGCAAAATCCCTGGGAGCCATTTCTATTCCTGTTGATTTCAGTAAGATCAGGCCCAAAGCTAGAGACCTGCTCTAACAACTCTGATCAAATCAGGAATTAGTTAAAACTCACAGGTTTTAGCTGACCATCTTTCATCCTGACCTGTGGATCTGCTGCTGTTCTGGTTCCGGAGAATCTTGGTTTACAGCTGACACAGCAAAAAGTGGGAGCTGGCACTGGCTGGAAACCACTTTCTCATATGCATTAATCTTAACCTAGGATATCTTTTTATTTCCATTTCTGGACTCTGCACAGGGGAAACATGAAATAATTTA